CTCAAATGTGTACAATGCAAATAAATGATAGAGAAAACGATGAATGACAAAATGATAAGTTCTCATACCACAAAGATAGCAATATTCACCTTATATCTAGCAAACACAGCATATGAGAAACAACAATTCTTGGATATGCATTAGCATCGATATATACAACTATCAAATCATATTTATAATCAAAATTTTCTAGCAAACACAGCATATGAGAAACAACAATTCTTGGATATGCATAAGCATAGATATATACAACTATCAAATCGTATTTATAATCAAAATTTTGGAGGGAAGCAATTATGGTCATTTAGTACATAACCATCAAATCGTATTTAACATAGTATTAACACACTTCCTCAAACTATTTCTTGACTCTCTTTTTCCTCTCCTTGGTGAATAGAGTCCCAATAGATGTTGCATGAAATCTAACGCGTGTCGATCGCGGTCTTTTTGTGTTAACAGTATCGTCGCCTTCAATGAGTATGGCGGCGGCCACAGGTCTGTCAATGACATTGTGTACGCAAAAGTAGTATGAGTTGTATTAGTTCTCCAAAATGTCAACTAATAACATAACAAAGTCTACCAACATCTAATTATCCACCGGCTTCCTAAAATAATATAATCTTATTTGTAAGAACATCGTACAAAAAGAAAGTAAAAATGTTAGATTATAATAATTCGTATATGTTAATGCAAAACACATATATAATGTTCAGATGAACCAAAGTTGGTCATGTCGATAAATGACTGTAAAATTGATAGTTGAAAAATACTGCCTTTATCTGTCAAGAACGACAGTTCATATCCATGGATGACTCGACTGAACTGTTGAGATTTAGTTATCTGTCGAGAATGACTGAAGCTAACTGTTGAAAACGATAGTTCATCTCGACAGACGAGTCACATAACTGATTTGTCGAGAATTAGTCATTTGTCGAGACTTTCATTTTGACAAATTAAACACTTCACTTAAAAGATAATTATGTTTGTTTGTGTTATATACGAAGTATTGGTAATTAAAAGTGTCTGTTTTCTAGTCCTAGTCCATAATTAGTAGTGTCTATTTTCGCAAAGTAACAAAAAATCCAATTTCTCCACTTCTGTAATGAGAGAGATAAATGAACACACATGCACATACACATCACGAGCATATGAAACTATAAACTCGATGAACACCCATCCGACTTTCTTTAACCCCTTCTTCTTGACAATAAAAATGGTGCCAATAAAGACGCTCAAAGACAAAGCCTGCACCAACCCTTTTATATTGTCAGACGAAATCCCCATATATAGACCCGACGTAGTGACAGAAGAATCAGATAATAAAAGAAACAAAAAGGCAAACTATCACAATCTCATCAATTACTGTAACAATAAATAATCGAGTTAAACAAATGGGCTCCTCTTTTCTCCTCGTCTGAAGTTTTAACTTCTAACTCAGTATATGTTACTGGGTGATCCAATGATCTCAACGTAACAAAGGAAAAACTGAAACACCTAATACACAAATATAGGAATCAAGATGAGATGAGCCCATACCTTGAAAATTATTCAGTGTTAAAACCTAAAAGGAAGATTCGATCCAAAACCTTAAGCAAATTTATCCGAATCGAATGAGATATTTGAGTTCAGTGTGGCTGCATGAGAAATATTTGTCAATATTTTCGACCCATGTTTAAGCATCAAAATGGTTGAAAATGGAGGTATTTGTGGACAATCGGATATTTTAGTTTAGCATGGCTGCATGAGAAATATTTGTCAAGCGTTTCGACCCACGTTTAACGTCAAAATGGCCAGAAATGGAGGTATTCGTCTGTGACACCGGTTGGCTTTTTAGATTTGGAACGAGAGAAAAAAGAGTGTGAGTCTAAGGTTTAGTGGAGATGTTGAATAAGAGAAATAAGAGTCTGTTTGTTTATCATTATTGGTAGAAAAATGGAGTAA